CGTTCATTAAATAAATTGGATATCAATTGACCGCAACATGCTAAAGGAAAAAGTTGACAAGCACTCATTCTGGGAGATTTTCGGGAGATCAATTTCAACCTGGCCGAATGATGAGATTAAATGTGCGAAGACCGAGGAACACGAAATGCCAGACGGCAAATAAAAAGTAATGATTTAATGAGTGCTTTTTGGCGTACAGGGTGCCGTAATAACATCAACGCGATCGTACTTTTCGATTAATTTGCAAAACAGATTCTGGATTATAGTACAGGGTTAGCCAGTGAAACGGGAAGATCTAAATAAGTACCTAATTGTTAAACACAATTTATTTTTTGAATTTAATGGTTACAAATAGAAAGTCCAAAGGTAGCCATTTAGTGTAGAATAGTGAGTAATTATTTTTTTAATATGACATCTGCCAAATGTCCTCCACTGGAATCTATACACTTCTGCAGTCGGGTATAACGCGCAAGCTTAGAATGCAGGGCACTATAAAATACCATGTGCAATTTGCAATCACCACACGCCGCTGATCGGCCAGCTAGCTCCGTTAGCCAAATAGCTAACAGCGTAAAGAGATATGCTCTTACTCAGGGTAGTAGGTAAGTGAATTAAAAACTTTGACCACACATTATTATAAAAGGTTCCAAGTAAATCTCCGCCACTAATACTAGATGGTGCTTCGATTCAAGTCTTTCGGGCGCCACCTAATTCCGCTAACAATTTTATCTGCAGCCACCGATATTAGGAAAGGTAGATTCAGTATAAAAAGAGTCAACAATTGACCCACAAGAAAAATTATTGTTTATTAACCACAGAGTATACAAAATACAAAAAAAAATGAAATCTTCCCATGAACTATTAACACAAAAATTAACCCACCAACAACCCCTGAAGTTATGTGACACCTCGTACCGCTAAGCAACGACAAGTATAATTAATAGAAATTAAAATTGAACTGATGTACTATAATCGGTAACTAGAGGTGTTGAAGTAACGAGTAACGAGCTCTTTACCCTACAAGTGATTACTGCTCTAGAGTAATTCGTACTTGATAGTTAAACAGTCCTAAACATCAAGCATACTAATTACACGTAAAAATTTCTACTTACATATGTGGGTGAAATAAACTGTTCATAGATATTTAGGTCTTAACAACAAACAAGAAAAAAAGAAACGTAGAAGGTACGTCACCGCTAACGATAAATTGTGTTGGCAATTCCACAGGTTCCTGGTGTAACCAAAAGAGCTTGTGCTCCAGGTATATTTCCCTCACGATTTACGTTCGGCTGTCCGTAAGATCTTAATGATTCTACGGGATGTTTTACAGCACACTCATCTGTAGTAGACCGATTATTTCCCCAGATTCAGCTGAATATTAACCCCCTTGCAAAGACTCTAAAAAGTAACCTAATTACGACTACGTTATAACCCACAATAATGCTAATCTCTTATTCAGAGAGTACACAAAACAAAAGAACTGGATACGTCCCAAATGACTTCAACATTTACTATATGGTCGGTATTTGTTCCCCTACAATAGAAAATAAGTTAAAAAGTAATCGTAAACGATTTACAAAAAGCGCATTTCCACTTGCATTCATTTTCCATTTGTAAGATGCAACTTCTGTTAAAATCGTAAAAATCCGCCCTCAATTATGAAAGATAGCGTTGCACATGTGCAATCCATTTTTGACGTGCTACTTTAATTTTTGTTTATAAGAAGAATTTCATTTCAATGCTTTTCTTAATAAGAAAGTTGGAACTGCACATGCGCAAATCTAAATTTTGAAACTAACGTTAGATTTTCCTTTGTTCCAAGCACCTATGTATCAAATTTCATTTAAATGCTTCCATAAATAAAAAAGTTGGCACTGCGCATGCGCATAACCAAATTCTGAAACTAGCGTTTTTCATTTATTCCAAGTGCCTATGTATCAAATTTAATTCAAATACTTTTATAAATAAAAAAGTTTGCAATTCGGTTTATAAATGGTCGAGATGCGAAAAGAGCACTGTGAATTTTGAATCGATTCGACTCAACTTTGGAATTGCGTATTAATGGCTGAAGCTACGCCCATATTGAATTTCATGCAATTCAGTTCATAACTAACGGAGATGTCAAAGCGATGGGACATTTCTAAACAAAGTTATCGTTCACACGGACAGATACATGGACAGACAGACAAAGGAACAGACGGACAGACCAACAGACAGATGACAGAAAGCAATACAAAATTATAAACGATCTCTAGGATCGTTAATAAACGGCAAAAGGGTAAAATTATGGAACATGTAAATACCGGTTTTTTGGTTTTTTTACAATAACATTTTTAGCAATAAACACAGAAAAAATTCCTTCCTTGGTGCAAGCCTGGACACCATAACGAACCAAATAGCGAAAAAAGTAGAACCATAGCTCTTAAGATAAAGAACTAGTAGCATCTCAACGAACGAGCGGACGGGCGGACAAGTGGCCTCAATAACGCATTTTTTTATTTTTGTGAAAATGCGCTAAAAATGACATACAGCGCTTTGGAAAGATGTGACGCTGCACATAAAAGCCGTACCCTAGGTACGCCACTGCCCTAGATACCCCGACAAGAAGTGACAAATTTTAAACGGGGAAGCAACAATCCGATTGTTACCCTGATAACCGAGAGGCGGCACGGCTTGAAAAACCTACAGAGGAAACCGACAACTCCTGTCATAATAAAATGTAATCCCCTATCCTGCAGCACCTGAATCTTTAGCAACTACCAGTTCGCATACGGTGCCAGGATCTTCAGCATTCCCGGTAGCTTACTACACGCACCCAGTTAAATATCGTAGAATCCCGAGTCCCCCCGCAACACGTTTCCAAGCCATTCATTAATTTACATTGGTTAAGGTTTTTAGTTCTACCTACCCCGAACTAGTTCTAGGGTAGTGAATTAATCCCATCTCTTTCCCACAACAAGCTGACTTTTACGGTTGTTTTAGATTTATGATTTTCTAAGGCTTGTAACTTTATATAACTACTAAAAAAGACTGAATTTGAGATCCACTCGCGCTATCGCGGCGCCGTAATATCCTGAACTAATTAAGAGGACAAAAGAGGCATTGAAACTTGAATGATGCAGAAAAACAGGTTTAAAATATTATTAGTGAAATTCCACCACAAATGACTTTTTAACGGACAAATTAACTATCTAAATTTCGACACCCTACAATTTCCAATAATATTCGAAACTCAAAACTGATCTACCCTTGAACTCAAAATTTATCACATTTACAAATAAAATTTGAATATTTACAAAAATTTAAAACAAAACTGGCTTCTACTGTTAGAAGTGCCCTCTGCGGTAGCGTTATTCTTTCCTGATCCTGCACACGTTAATGTATACAGAAGCTAATACTACTACAAAATATCAATAAAAATCATCAATAGAAAATTTAAAAAAATCCAGTTGCTCTAGATACGTTTGTTTTGTAGGCTCTCTATTTTCTATATAATCAATTGTGTACTGAACCCATAATAGTGTGAGAGGGAACTAAGTGCTGCTACATGAAAAGTTTATTAAACATCATGTATTCTTTACAAGGCAAACTATAAACAAGTTAAAAACGTGGTCACTTGCCACCGACAAAAGCGCATTTTCTCCGCCCAGAATCAGTAATAACCGAGGTAATAACTCGGGAAAGAAGTGACCAATCCAAATAAACTTTTGTCGTTCTGGTTTCTGGGCTTGTACTACACCGTATAAGAAAGGAACCATAACGAAAAAGCGTAAATTGGAGGACTAGTAGTGGTACAAACGGACAAAGTGCAGACAATAGCGTTCATTTTCCTTTTCGAAAATGCGCTAAAAATACTAAATTGAGAAAAATAAAAAAATTTAGAAAAACTTTAAAGAAACACAGTTTAGCTGAAAACGTTTTGGGATCTTAAGAGTAAATTGAAAAATATAAATATTGAATTTTTTGCTTTTTAGCTTGGATTTTGTGTTCTGTTGACGACACGTGGTTTTTTGTTTTTTTAATTTTTTTACCTTTTTAGTATTGTGTACCAATTGTCTCTAAAGAGCCAAAAAGATTTTTTTTCGAGCGCGCGCAGGTAGTGGCAAGTTCGTGAAACAAACAAACAAGAAAGTAACCTAAGAATAGTCTTTTTCCAACCCAAATCCCAGAAAATCATAAATACTATTTTCTAAACACAAATAGGGGGTCGTTAGAACTACAAGATAAAAGGGGAAAATAGCACAGAGAATACAAAAATGCCCCTAGAATACGTCTTCTTTCGTTAAGTGCCCCTGATCACGATTTTAGGGGCAAGTAAGTACCCAAGCGTAGACAAATGCAATAAATCGAAAATTTTGTGACATGATTTCGCACACCAAATATTTCCGTCCACCTGTCCCACCATTTTAACTTTTTGCGATATAGTGCTACTGATCTAATAATTTTTTTCTACGATACGATAGCAATCAATTGAACCATGTGTTAGGTAAGGAAAAAACATGCAGTCGGACAAAATGTTATTCTTTAAAAATTGTTTAAAATCATCGACATTTTATGAAATTTTGACATGTCCAAAAAAAAGGTGATCTCAATAGCCACTTAGCTCAAGCTAGGAAGCTAATAATACCAAAAAGTATCTACCTGCTCGTGTCTTAAGCTACTTGTTACTAGAAAGTGTTATTGACCTGAAATACTGGTAATACATTCAGTATTTATCTCGAACATACCAATAAAGGACAATGTGCTGTGTCAATTAGCTCTGGTTTTGGGTTTTATGCATTTCTAGATGCCTTGTCGTCCGTTCGTAATTATTTATCCAAATTGGCATCCAAAAAATTACGATAATAATAATTGACGTATCGCTGTTTTATGAAAACGAGTTTTACTGACTTACTTACTTAGGAAATTGACGTTTTTCTCATTTATTCCTCCTTTTTTGCGATGATGAATGTGTGGTTTAAGTATGAAAGGTGAAAGAATAAATGATTGGCAGTACCGTTTAATGTCATCCTTGTGTGCAACTTTCGCAAATTGACCGTAATCGAGTCGATCGCAGAGGGTGCCATTTTACGTAAATTTCTGTAAACGAAGTTAATATGGGTTTAGTGCGCCGTAGGGCATACGAAAGAGGTTATTATCTACTCAACTTTCTTACGCCTAATACTCCCTCGTATATTTAAAGTCTCAGACTGTTGTTTCCAAACAATAACGACCTTTTAAAGGTAGTTTATACGGTTAGGTCATACGAGTTTGTTGTTGGGGCGAGCGTCGCTCGCTTGGCTTGCGTGTTAAGCTGAAGCTGAAAGAAGCTTGCAGTCTTTCTTGAACTACCGTCTATGCAGGATAAACGCTTGGTGTTAGCACGTGTGTTCGTTGTTCTTATTTTCGGTTTCACTACCAGTGAAATTCAGTTTTTTTTGTGCAAGTGAACTGTGTCAGTGCATGTGACATCAATCAATCGCCTAATGGTTATACTTGCTAAACATGGTGAGATTTCAATTAATTTTTTTTTCTTTTCGCGCTAAATATCAGCCCGATGGATTGGTTTTGTGGGGAACAAGAAAACCGCAAACCACGGCTGAAGTGCAGAACTTTTACGAAACCGCAAATGCGCGTCATGATATTTACGCTCCTTTAAAAAATTAATGATCGATTGTGCCGGTTTATAAACAGAATGGTTTTAACTTTTGATCTTCTTATCGCGTAATGAGAAAGAAATCTCATTACTGTCTCTCCTGAAAAAACGTATTTAAATAAACCGGCCGAGTAGTGTGGTTTTATGGCTGTTCTTAGTATTCAGTGTCTTCTGATGTAATTAAGTAGGTGTCTTTTGCTTATGTAAACAGCTCGGACCTGGAATTCTTAATAGAGACTGAGGGGCTCACTCCTTAACTGAGGGGTACCGTACTTTATTTACCTACCTGACTCGGCAAGCGAGCAGCTTTTGTTTCATAAGCTGGTTTTGTTAAATGTCCTTGATGACCACTTACGTACTGGTTTGGTTTGCAAATTCATCTTCCGCGATAAACGTGCACGTTTCTTTTATTACTTCTGCGAAAGGAATCTACACTTTGGTTTCGTGTAATTGCCAACGGCAGAAATCCGATTTCTTTGACGCACTGGAATAACCACTGAACAATTAGATCAATAAAAGAGGAAATATGTTCTCAATATGAGGGACTTTGCGATTAGAAAAACTGTCCGGTCTTGTCCGTCCGTCCCGTTCCCTTTGTTTTATTTGGCATAGTGGCTAGGCTTACACTGAGTAGATGTAGACTTGGTAAAAAGTTTCATAGAAAAAAACCCTCGGAAAAAGCATCTTCATGCAGCATGTTTTATATTTTTGCAGTTTATTTCACGATTGGCTTCCTTCCCGCACACAAACTTGTTTTTTTTTATTGCTCTTGCACTGTACATCTTTGCCCTCAGATGAATTGCACGTATGGGTATGAAAAGTGAATTTCATCTGGCCGAGCCGAGCTTCAGGTCATACCTATATGGTTGGGAAGGACTCCAGGTCGCAGCAACGGTCAAGCCGAGAGCTTTTGAATTATGATATGGTTGAATATTCTCCACAATTTAAAAATATTTGGAATTATACAGGGTGTTAAATAGAACCCCCTGTATTTGGGGTCCGTGAAGTTAGCAGAACATTGACGGCACAAATGTCGGGACTAGGTGGGGATTGGTTAGTGCTACGTTTGTGCCGTAAAAAGTTTGCCAGCAAAACATACGGTTTGGAAATTATTTCGATTTATAGATGTTCTGCTAATAGGCCAGTCATTGAGGATTTTTACCTGGAAATAACTCGGGAAGTACTGAAATTTTGTATGCTTGAGTGCGTAGAACTAAAATTCATAAAATGCACAATTCGAAACTTGCCGCCGGGGCCGCCATCTTACGAAGATGGCCGTCAAAAGCGGTTTTCCGCCGATATCTTCAAAACTGCGCATTTTACGAGAGAATATGTGGTGATCACAATTAAAGAGACGAAAATTTCGTACAAGAAATGTAGTTAGCATATTTTCACTAAAGTTAGCCCTTGCGCAGAAAAGCAGAAATTTTTAATAACCAGTGGCGTATATTTTATCCAAATAATTCATTAATCATTTAATTAATTAATCAAATTGATGAATCAATCAGTCTATGATCAATTAATTTTAAGATTTTATTTTAGTCGTCTCCATCTTGGGTGAGACATATCAATTTTCAAATTTTATTAGTTAAATCAATCAGTTATATATTCTTATATTCAATCCCCTTAAGCCAGCATTGTGGACTTTATTTGTTTGGTATGTGATTATTTATCGTTATTTATGTTCATTTTACGTTAAGAGATTCCTATAGCACGTGACCTTGCACGTAACTAATTGATATGCAGCTCTAACCACACCATCACGCTCCTACGCAAGAAAACCATGTACCACTGTTTCTCTTTCTATCCCTAATGACGACCACTTAGCACTTACTTTTGGTTACCTTCGTTAGGCGGCGCCACCTCAGTCGCTTGAAAGGAAAATTTCTTTTTTCCATTAATAATAATAATATACTGCCTTGAAGTTATTGTTTTATGGACTAAAATCTCTAAAATAAATTACTATAGCATGGAATGGTCAGAATAAACACTTTCCATGATAGACTATGAATTAGAAACGACAGTAAAAAAATTTCAGAAAATTCTTTCAAAGCGCTCGTTATTTGCAAAATCCAATTACCTTCGGTGTATAGTCCTCTTAAGTACGACTATTTTGAAGTTCAATGGTGTATTAAATGAGTATTTGAAGTTGTTCCTTATTAATCAATTTCAATAGCAATATCAAAAAATGTGTTTTTTCAAAACTTTTCCAATTGTAATATAAAACCCAGGAAAACCAAGATGTTTCGAAATAGGACATTATTATCAAAAGTTGAAGGTTTTTGGAGGAGCTAAAAGATGACAGAAAAATATACAGGGTGTTCCATTTTAAAAAAGTGAGATTTTTTAATATGAAGTTTTGCAACCTTGGACCTACCAAAAAACACCCTTTAAGTTATTTTTTTAATGTTTCATAGTAGATGTATTTATTCGACTTTTACTTAACCCAGGATAAAAGATAAAACCTGGAATCAAAACTTAAGTAATAATTTTGACTGACGCTTGCAAACGAGCTTGCAAATGCCCAATTTTTCTTACAAATCGAATTATCTTTAAAACTACTAGTTTTTCTGATATTAACCATATAATAAAAAAGACGTACAATTTACACGTAGAATCCAAAAATGCATTCAAATACAGGGGGTTCTTTTAAAAAAAATGTACCATTTGGGCGCCCTACTTTGTGGGCGCACCCTGTATAATTCCAAATATTTTCAAAATGTGGAGAATATTCAACCATATCATAATACAAAAGCACTCTATCGAAAAATCTTATCTTCAAGGCATTATGTTACTCCGCGCAATCGTTGACTCACCCTGGTGTCCCACTTTCGACACATATAGAGCCTATCCCCGTAATTGTTAATGCTATAAAAAAAAGTAATATAGGCGTTATGTGCTCTTTTTGGGTCAAACTTAAAATGGCAAAATCAAAATTTGAAAATAATAATAATAATAATAATGCCTTTATTACGAAATTATATAATGTAAATAAAATTAAAACGAAAATAATCTAGGCGGAGTTCAACACGTTGACCTGGACGTACAACTGTTGCTCTACCACTCAACCTAGTGTATCATTCACACGTTATGCCGAGCGTTATGCACATACATATAAAATAAAATAATTTTTTTTTTACAAATCTAATATGATTGCTCACTTAATAACCTACACTTCATGTTTTTTTTAAAAGACGATAACGAAGGAGAAATTTTGAATATATTAAAATATCTATTGTAGCAGGTAGTAAACTGATAAATAAATGACCGTTCGAAAAAGAGAGTATTGTGGAGAGGGACATCTAGCAATCCCCTATGTCGTAGATTTAAATTATGCACGTCAGTTCTAAATCTTAACCTCGTGAATAGGTATGGAGGCGATTTGGATCTTAAGATCGTATAGTATAATGAAGCAGAATGTACGTATCTGCGATTATTCATATTCAACCACTCGGTCGCCACAAGTGCTTGTGATATTCCACGATCATACTTACGAATACCGTAAATTAACCTTAAACAAGAGTTCTGTAGCTTTTGGATTCTCTTTTTGTTATGGTTTGTGTATGGATGGTAAACTACGTCACAATGATTAAAAACAGATAGTACTAAAGAGTCGCATAATAATTTCTTTAAGTCAACAGTAAGGTATGCACGATTTACAAAGATTTGCTTTAAGTTAGCAAAAGCACGCTGAAGACACTTATTTATATGTGTGTCGAATTTTAACGAATAGTCCAGATGTAAACCAAGGTTTTTGACACAGTCTACCAGTTGCAATTTTGAATTTTGAATATAAATTGAAATATCTTCCATTACGTTTACTCTGTCATTTTATCTTCCAAAGAGCATTAGATAGTATTTAGACGGGTTCAGACTTAGGGATAGTACAGAAGAAATATGAACAAGGTGTGATAAATCTCTATTTACTCTATCACACGCCATCACTACATCATTGGGTTCAAACGAATAGTATATTTGAGTGTCATCGGCGTATAGGTGATATTGACAGTGGAGCAAGTTTTCTGGAATTACCGACGTGTAGATTGTAAAAAGTAACGGTCCCAATACAGATCCTTGCGGAACGCCACAATAACGCCACAATATTCGTGCGCTTACGAGATACGAGACAAAATAAACAAGCTGTCAATTTTAAATTGATCTTATCTTAAGATACACAAAAATGTGTGCTACAAAAGTGTCCTTATAATTATTGTTGAATAATCTGCCGTTTTCAAGTATACTTATTTTGAAAACGGCATATCAGGTAAAAAAGTTATCGGATCTGACCCCATTTTTTAAAAGGAACACTCTGTATATTTTAATCTAAAACGATAACATATTCAATTCTCTTTTTAAAAATATAACACTAGAGATGGTATTCAAAAACAGATTCAAGTGATTCAAAAAAGAATTTAAAAATTAAAATATTCAAATGATTTAAAAAATACACAAAAATTGTAAAAGTATTTTTTTTTAAAAAAGTGATTCAAAAAAGAATTTAAAAATTAAAATATTCAAATGATTTAAAAAATACACAAAAATTGTAAAAGTATTTTTTTAAAATCTTTTTGAGCCAATATTCCCTTTTATTTAGTGTTATATTTTTGAAAAGAGAATTTACTATGTTATATGAAATATACAGGGTGTTCCATTAAAAAAATGAGATTAGATCCGGTAACTTTTTTACCTGATCACATATACTTATTTTTAAAACGACAGATCGTTCCATAATCATTACAAAGAAACTTTTGTAATAAACATTTTTCTGTTCTCTTAACTGTGAAAATATTTGATCATTCCGAAATTGACAAATTTTTTTAATGTTCGCCGTATGTCTTGAACGTGCTAAAAT